CTCAAACATTGTTGATGAAAATGTAAAATGGTGGAAAACAGCTTCAGCAAACAATGCAGCTGGAAAACAGTTTGGTAGTTCCTCAAAAAGTTAAACATAGAAAAAAAAAGTAAAACATAAGAGTTACCATATGATTCAGCAATTCCATTCCTAGGTTTATACCCCACAAAACTGAAAACATGTATTCCCACAAAAACTTGTACACAATGTTCATAGCACCACTATTCAAATAGCCCAAAAGTGAAGACAACCCAAATGTCCATCAATTGGTGAATACACAAAACATGGTATATACAAGAGAATATTATTCACCTATAGAAAGGAATGAAGTATTTGATAAATGCTATAACATGAAAGAACCCTGAAAACATGCTAAGTAAAATGAGACAAATATTGGACAAATGTTGTATGTTCCCACTTATAAAAATCTAGAATAGGCAAATTCATAGCTACAGAAAATGGATCACAGGTTATAAGAAGCTAGGGGAGGGGTGAGCTGGGGAGTTATTATTGCTTAATGGTTACAGAGGTTTTCTTTGGGGTGATGAAAATGTTCTGAAATTTAAGTGATCATTGCAAACCTTGTGAATATACTAAAAGTCACTTAATGTACACTTAAAAATTGTGAATTTTAAGGGTGCTTGGGTGGCTCAGTCGGTTGAGCATCAGACTTCAGCTCAAGTCATGATCTCACAGTCTGAGTTTGAGCACCACATCTGGCTGGTTCTATGCTGTTATCATAGAGCTCACTTCAGATTCTCTGTCCCCCTCTCTTTCTGCCCTTCCCCTGCTCATGCTCTCTCTTTCTCTCCCTCTCTCTAAAATATAAATAAACATTACAATATTTAAAAAACTGAATTGTAGGGTTGCCTGAGTGCCTTTATCAGTTAAGTGACTGACTCTTAATTTCAGAAAAGTTTGTCTGGGCTCTGCACAGACAGTGCGGAACTGGCTTGGGATTCCCTCTCTTCCCCTCTCTCTGCCCCTCCCTCACTTGTGTGCATTCTCTCTTGAAATAAACAAACATTTAAAAAATTGTGAATTTTATTTTATGTGAATTACATCTCAATAAGAAAAAACCTTTAAAGAGAAACTCTTCAATGTTGGCAAAGTACATGTCATTGAAAGGAAATATTTGAAATATAGTCTGTATTTTGCTTTGTGAAAATCACACACCTAGATATGATTTCAAAATGCTCCTTAATTTATTTTTATCTTTATTTTTTAAGTAGTCTCCATGCCCAGCGTGAAGCCCAATGTGCAGCTTGAACTCACAACCCTGAGATCAAGACCTGAGCTGAGATCGAGAGTCAGATGCCTAACTGAGCCACCCAGACACCCCAAAATGCTCCTTAGTTTAAATACAATTATAAATACACACATAAATAAATAAATAAATAAATAAATAAAGACACAGTATGACAAGCCCTCCTGAAACTTGTATTTATTATAAACTTATTATATTTCATAGGTTTCTGCTTCATAGAATAAGATCTGAGCAAAACAATGTAACCTCTAGTAGGTAATGGAACATGCAGAAATGTTTAGTTTCCAACTTTGGAAACTACAGATTCTTGAGTCATGGTCATGTGTTTGAAAATCAGTTTACCAAATGTTTAGATCATGGCTCAATTACAGAAAGTATCATAATTTAGTTACTCCAGGCCTGGAAGTCAAATGATGAGGGTTGCTGTCCTGACTGTTTCTTAGGTTGTTTCTAATTCTTCATGTATAATTGAGGTGGTTTTGACGAATTGAGGTTCCTTTTAGCTTTAAAATTCTGAATGTATTTGCTCTTGTGATTTTATAGTCAAAGGAGTTTTGAACTTGTATGGCTTGCTTGGACTGCCTTAAAACGTTCACATTTTAAAATTTACTTAATTATTATCGGACCATAAGATTTGAAAAGGATTAAATTGTCCAATCAGCTTTTAATATATTGGACCAATTGATCTCATTCTATGGAGAATTAGTATGAAGCAATACCACCACCTGGTGGCTTCTTTTCCAATATGACAACTTTTTTTTGTTTGTTTAAGTAGGCTCCACACCCAATGTGGGGCTTGAACTCACAGCTCTGAGATCAAGAGTTGGATAATCTGTTGACTGAACTGGCCAAGTGCCCCAACAACCTTCTTATTTGAATATGATAGTTTGGCCTCTATCAAACTATGACAGGTGGTTCAGATATGACTATTTTAGGAAACAACTTTAATAATATTGCACAGTATGTTTATGTTTAACTAATGCTTACGGCATGGGTCTTAGAAACTTATTTTTATAATTCAACAAATTCTCTCAACAAATATGTTTAGTGCCCAAGTATAAGAACAAAGCAGTGAACAAACTAAACAAAAATATTGGCATTCATAGATGTTACATTCCAGTGAGAGGAAGTAGACAAAATATAATAGGCGTAATAGATAAGTGAATTATGTTTAGTGTCAAATTCTTTTTAAAAAAATTAGGATAAGGAGGATGTTGGGTAGGTTGCAGTTTTAAATAGGATGACATTTGAACAAAGACTTGAAAGGTGAGGTCAATTCTATGTGCTTATCTGAAGAATAAAATTCCATGGACTTACAACTAAATATTTAGCTTTAATTCTAACATGCTGCTATAATTCTGCTTCCTCAAGTATTTCTTTTTAGGAAGCAGGAACTGTACTACCAGGTCAATATTAATAGGAATGACTACGTTTTGAAAAAGAACATTGTAAAAAAGAAAAAAAAGAGAAAGAAAAGAAAAAGGAAAAATGATGTTGCCCTAAAAATAAGTATCTTTCCTATGTTATGAGTGTCTTTAGTTAGTATCAGAAAAGAGACAGAAAGTGTAGCTTTGTTATCTTGTTTTTCACCTTACCTTTACACATTGAAAATTGTGTTCCTATGAAAGTAGGAATTGCTCTAGTCTTAGGAATTGACAATTGAGAGAAGGGAGGAGAAGGTAGAAGTGGGATATCACCAATAAATATTAGCTAAGTTTCTCTAGGCTGTTTATGGCTTTGTTATTTATAAATTTGCAATGGCACTTTGTGAAATTATTTAAATTTTTGGACTTAACCACTCTCGAGTTAATGAGTGTCTCTAAAAGTTAGAACTTGAGAGTAGGTACTGTTTTATACTATGTCACAGGCATAGCATAAGGCCTTGAACACAGTAAGTGGTCAGAAAAGTTATTTTCTTTGTCCTAAATCTACATTAGAAAAAATTTAAAGGAAGCATCTTAATATTTTGGGGTTTTTCTTTAGGTCAAAGGTTGCTGAGAATGGAGAAGAGTTTTTGATGCAGCCAGGAAATGAGATAAAATCTTAACAAAGAGTTAAATGGGTAAATGTAAAAAATAAAGTTTTTAATCCAGTTGCAGAGGTTTTTGTCTTAAGTATATTTATTTATTTTGAGAGTGAGAGGGAGGGGCAGACAGAGAGAGAAAGAAAGAGAGAGAGAGAGTGAGAAAGAGGGAGAGAGAATACCAAGCAGGCTACTTGCTATTATTAGCACTGAGCCTCACCTGAGGGTCAATCTCACCATCCTGGCATCATGACCTGAGCCAAAATCAAGAGTGGTATGCTTAATGCACTGAGCCATCCAGACTACCCTTTTGTTTGGTTTTATCTTATTATTGTTTCCATAATGATTTATAATTAGGTGCTTAATACACATTATGAAAGGCTGACAAGCCATCTAATAGTATTAACAATGCTTTTAAATTTGTAGATAGCCTTCAGTTCACACAGTGTCTTCATATAGGTCTCATTTGTTTATTTGGTTCAGAATATACACTGCAAATATAAAGTTTATAGCATAGATTTCCTTTTAGTTTCTCTTTTTTAAACGTTTATTTTTGAGAAGACGGGGGAGAGAGAGCGCATACACTGGGAACGGGCAGAGAGAGTGGGAGACACAGAATTCCAAGCAGGCTCCAGGCTCTGAGCTGTCAGCACAGAGCCCCATGCCAGGCTCGAACTCAAGAACTCAAAGATCATTACCAGCTCAAAGTCATACGCTTAACCAACTGGGCCACCCAAATGCCCTTCCTTTTAGTTCTTCTTTAAAGGGAATTTGTATTTTCAGAGAACTATGTGCATTATACTGGAAATCTGACATAGACAAAATTTTAAGTAGCGACGGTCAAGACATGCCAAGTGGCAGGAGCTAATCTTGTCAAAGACAGGGAGGGGAAGAGGATGAAGAACAAGAGAGAAATGTCAGTGGAATCCCAGCCCTCTGAAGTCCAACAGCTGGCACTTTCTAATGCTTACAACACACAGCCTTAAAAAGGTCCAGGTGTTCAGATAAAGAGTCACTCAACTGTCCCCTTCTCAAAACAACAAAACAAAGATAAAAACCAAATTTTCCTTGGAAAATTTCTGTGAATTTATAATTTAGAAGTGGGGAGGGGAGGCCAGAGCAACAGTCAAGTCTAGTTCAACGCCTGGGCAGCAGGAGAGGTCTGAAAATTGAAATCAAAAACAAAAGTCAGTCCATAAACTTACGTTGGATGAATGGAAATCTCTATTATAAATAAAAGCATAATATGCAAAAACTATATTTGGAAGGAGACCCAAGATAGAGTTTACAATGGTGACTTCTAGGGAGAACTGTGGGATTGGAGCGACGGATGGGTTTACTTTTCTGTGTATCTTTACGAATTAAGACACACACACTCAACCTTTAAAAAAAAAATTAGTCTAGGGGCGCCTGGGTGGCTTAGTCGGTTAAGCGTCCGACTTTCGCTTGGGTCATGATCTCGAAGTTCGTGGGTTCGAGCCCCGCGTCGGGCTCTGTGCTGACTGCCAGCTCAGAGCCTGGAGCCTGTTTGTCTGTGACTCCCTCTCTCTCTGACCCTCCCCTGCTCACGCTGTCTCTCTCTCTCTCCTAGAAATAAATAAAACATTAAAAAATTTTTTTGAAAAATTAGTCTATGAGTATCCCTTCTTCCCATCGTCCAACTATTGCTTCCTTTCTCCCAATATAATGGTCTGTCAAGAACAGCATTACTGTCAATCGACGCCCCCTGGAGGGAACAAATCATTAGTCCTTGTGATCTGAAGCAGCCCGCCCCCTGGAGGGAACAAGTCATTAGTCCTTGTGATCTGAAGCAGCCCATCCACAGTGCTGATCCCACAAAGGTGGTCAGGTGCTCAGAACTAGGTGGAAGAACGGAGTGAAGGGGTCTAACGTTGACCCTGGGCACCACTGCGACACCAAAATACTCGTTAGCGACCTCATGTGTAAGGCTACTTCGCATTGGCGGCGCAGGGCTCTTCCTATTATTATTACGTAGTCCTATTTCCGTGTGGGAGAAAGCACCCAGGGAAAGGTGCTTCGCCCCCGCAGGACGCTTCAAGACCTGCAACTTCTGCCACGCTGCACCCGAAGCCTGCGACCAGTCGACTGGCTGCTGCATCGAGGCCCAACTCGAATTATTGGGCGGCAGATTCGCCACTTTTGGGGGTTAGAATTTAAAAGGAAAATTCGAATTTCCCTTTTGGAAGCCCTTTCAATACAAGAAAATAGAAGCAGGAGAAACTTGGGGTCCTTGAATATTTTTTATCCTCTGGGTTTCGTCTTGCGCGCCTGTGACTTTTGTCGAAAGCGACGACGCGGACGCTCAGGTCGCCGTTCCTGGCGCGTAGTCGCAGCGGCCCGTCGCTCCCGCCCCCGCCGGGAGTCCGACGTGGAAGTTGCTGGCGGACCGGACTTCCAAGGGAACCGCCTGGGAGCCGGAGCCGGAGCCAGAGGCCGAGGCTTGCAGAGGTGGCGGCGTCGAGGCTCTAATAGGAGTCGCTGCCGAGGCTGGGGCCTGCCTTTAACCAGCGACAAGGGCAGACAGGCGGTTCATCATGGGTGAGGGATCTGAGGAGGTCGCCCGAGCGCGCTCGAGGGGCTTCGGCTGAGGGCCGGGGTCTGGAGGAGAGGGGCCGGCCTGGGAAGCCAGGAGTAGCCTGCTTTTTAGGGGCAGGTCGTTGAGGACTTAACTCGCCTTGTCTGTTCGCCTGTGGGGGTGGACCCTGCCTCGAGCTTTCGCCTGTGCCCTCGCTCTTGTTGCCTTTATCCCAGAAAGGTTAGGCGGCAGGGGCGGCGCAGGTTCGCCCGGCGCCGTGGCCCGGGAACCCGGCCCTGAGACCTTTCCCCTGACCGTGAACTTTTCCCTGCCCCTTCAGACCCAGCTCGATTCGGGGGTCAGAGTTGGTCTTGGGAAGCTTAGCAACTTGTCAGTCGCAGGTGCGCTGAGGTTTCTTGCGTGAAAGATAGGAGCCCACAGTAGAAGCTTGATTCTCTTCCTGGTCGCTGGGACTGCGTCAGGTTAAAAAATCTAAAGGGAATTGTTGCTCATAATGTTTTATATTTTATAGCCCACTTCTTATTTGCCTGCTTGCTGTAACAGCTTTTCATGTAGATAATAGAGTAATGTGGAGAAGGAAATGGGGAGGGTACTGGTCATAACTGGTCAGTGAGTGAAATTTTAATCTCGATATCTGGAGTACTAATTGAGAGAACTGTATTGTCAGCCTCCCTCCCCGCTGGAGCCCAAATGAAGGTGCAGATTTTTTAAACTGGTTTACATCTCTCCAGATGGATGCACATTCCATGGCTTACTTTAATTCCTCTGCGATTTTCTGGGGGATTTACTTCCTGCCCTGGCATGTCACAGGCGCCTTCCTGTTTTTCTCCAAAACTCCCTTCAGTTTTTTTCCTTAAGGATTTTATTTTTAAGTACTTTTCTACACTCAAGATGGGGCTGGAACTTACAAACCCAAGATTGAGTCGCCTACTGTACGGACTGAGCCAGCCAGGCGCACCAATTTTCTGGTTTTGTTTTGTTTTGCTTTGTTTTGTTTTGTTTTAGGTGTAAAAGGTGGTATGGATTTTGTCAAGTCACACCCCTTCTCTTACACTTTCGCAAGGTTCTCTTGCCTGTGGTGTCTTTATTTTTACAGACTTGCAGCTCTTAATTGTGCCATTTCTTTGTCAAATAACCGTGTATTGTGTGGCATCACTTCCGTTCTCACCTTTTTTTATATTGTTAATGTATCTTTTAATCTTCTCTAATGGCTTTTGGCAGAGAAGGGCCAAAGTGCTTTTTTCTGGTAATCATTAAAGAAAAAAGGTATTTTATTTTATTTATTTATTTATTTCTAGGAGAGAGAGAGAGACAGCGTGAGCAGGGGAGGGTCAGAGAGAGAGGGAGACACAGAATCCGAAGCAGGCTCCAGGCTCTGAGCTGTCAGCATAGAGCCCAATGTAGGGCCCAAACCCACAAACCGTGAGATCATGACCTGAGCCGAGGTTGGCAGCTTAAGTGACTGAGCCATCCAGGCACCTTGAAAAAAATGTATCTTAAAAAAGCTTCTTTATTTGGTTGTAAAAAGAGTACTCTAAATCACCATTTATTTAATGATTCCAGATGAATCAACACCTTAATCTGTTACCAGCAGGTCCTGTTGAGACAAAGGACAATTTTTTTAATTTTAATTTTTTCCAGGTTTCTTGAGGTATGAATGACAAAATTGCATATATTTAAGGGGCACAGTATGATGTTTTCATATGTATATAATGTACACATTGTGAAATGATTACCACAGTCAAGCTAATTAATACATCTATCACCTCCACATAGTTAACCTTTTTTGTGTGTGGTGAGAACACTTCCAGATCTTCTCTCTTAGCAAATTTCAAGTGTACAGTACATTGTTAATGTACTGGAGTAATAAGGAAAGTTTGTACCCTTGACATCTCTCCCATTTCCCCCACTCCATCAGCATCTGGTAACTACCATTCTACTTTGTTCACAAGTACTTTTATCTTACACAATACCTCGCGTATAGGAAGCTTTCTGGAAATATTTCAAGATCATTGAATGTAGCTTTATTATTTTTTTTAATGAGTTTTCTGCCAAAAGTAGGTTTTGCTATTTTGGGCTTCTGTGTCTCAATTTCTTTTTCTAATTCTGTTGCTTAAAGAGAAATCTCAGTGATTGAAGGTAGTTATGACGGTGCTACTGTACAATGATAATAATTGCTTTTCCCACTTGAGGATCTCATTGTCCCACTGTCATTCTAATTTGTCTTTTGGTGTTTAGGGGTTGCGAGGAGAGCATGGTAAGGTATCCATATTCTCATCGTTAGAAAGTGAGCTCCATGAGGAAGGTAGTCCTGTTTCTCTTATTCTGGAATATATCTTCTGTGCCTTCCTGACACAGTATCTAGGACATAGTGACAATCAGTAATTACTTGTTTGATGCTGAATAATATATATCATTGGGAGCAAACTTATGCACTTATAAATCAAGGAAAATATTACAGTATTACTTAATTTGGTATAGCTTTATTATTATTTTTTCTTGAGGGAGAGCCTGTGAAAGTGGAGGACAGGGTGTGGGAAAGGGAGAGAATCTTAAGGAGACTCCAGGCCCAGTGCGGAGTACCACATGGAGGTGGATCTGATGAACCGGAGATCATGACCTGAGCAGAAATCAAGAGTCTGACACTTAGCCAACTGAGCCATCCGGGCACCTCTGGTGTAGCTTAAAAAGGTTGAGATTAAATGTTTTGTGGACCTAGTTCACAAAATGATATTGAATACATTTTTTCTTTTATTATTTTTTTCAGGTGGCTTTTTCTCAAGTATTTTTTCTAGTCTGTTTGGAACCCGGGAAATGAGGATTTTAATTTTGGGATTAGATGGAGCAGGAAAAACTACAATTTTGTACAGATTACAGGTTGGAGAAGTCGTTACTACGATTCCTAGTAAGTGTTGGTATGATATACTAATTGTAGGGGGTTTTGTTTTCCATCTAACATAACTTTACTTCTGAATAAGTAATTAATACAAAAAGATAATTTTAATATAGTAAGCTTTATAAACTTCTAGTGTTGGAATAATATTAATAACATTTTTCATAAATTTAGAGGCAATTTGTAAACCCCTGTGCATGGCTGGGTTTTTCTGTTTAAAGCTAATTTTAAAGTTGGATAGAGTTAAGCCACTTAATCTCATTGAGAGCGAGTATCTTTATTGATAAAATGAAGATAATAAATAAACCTACTGACTCTGAAGGGGGAATAAGTGAAATATATAAAATACTTTGTAATCCTGTTTTAAAGAATTATATAGATGTTAAGTGATACTGTTGCATCTGAGGTGCTTCCCTCCCCCCCCAATATTTGTTACTATTTTAATTAAGATATGTTTTTTTTAAGGAATTCATTGCTTTTAAAGATCTGAGTTGAAGAGATTGTTGAATTAATCTGGTGCCTAAAAATAAGAGAAGAAACACCTCAACGTTAAATCAGTTGTTGATATCTTAGAGGAATATTCTCAAATAGTCCCGTTTGACTACATGAGAAAACTGTTATATTTTTTTTATTTGTTGGCCTGAATTGACTTAGAGAAGATTAATATATTTAAACTAAGTTTAAGAGTTTGTACAGTTTGCTCAAGAGTATTTTAAATTATGCCTCTAAAATCACTGTCATGCAAAGTATTTCTATATTCAGTAGTATTTAAATTTCCGGATTAAAAGGGAAAATAGTCTAGCTTTTATGAAAGAAGAGCCTTTTAAACCCTGTGGCATCTGATTTCTTTTTGCCACTTCCAGTAAATTTCAATTCCCTTAATTTTTGCTTCTCAAAATCGCCCATCTCTGCAGTGATTAAGTCTTGGTGGTCCCTGCAGAGCACACAGCCCAGTGGATTGCATTTGAGGGACCACGCTTTATAGCCCACCCTTGTACTTTGCGTATAAAATGTGTTTGTAATTGAAGTAAAGATGGTGATTACACTCCTACCTAATTATAAGGGACACATCATGTGCTTGCTTTTTAATTTTCTACTCAGCTTTATTATAGTTACTTTTTAGTTGTGATAGGGATTAGCATCATTCACCAATATAGACTTAAATTTAAAACAAAAATTGTCCAATTATAGCTATAAGTCATTTTTTACTTTGTTTTAAGCTTATAAAATCTTACTAATTTAAGTTTTTCACCATCCTCTCCACCTTCCCTTAGAGTCCTTTCAATGAAAATAGTAGTATCCTGTCTTAGCCATATGGTTCCACACCTCCACCTAAAAAGGATGGCAGGGAAAAGAGATGAGACACCTCCCCTCTGAGCATCCAGCCGTGGCCTTATTACACATGAGCTCCTGAGAAAGTCTGCAGAGTCTGTGAGATTGCCACCCTTAGAGATCCCAGGTTCTATAAAGTGGTATACAGCTTTTGCTGAATCCTTAACCACTGAAGTTTAAAATGTTTGCTGTCTTGTTTTTATTCCCTGTGTATTTGCTACCTTTCAAAATTCCATTTTTTTTGTAATACATCTACATCTGTTCTTTCTAAGCATAACTTTCTGAACACTTTTGTATGCCAGGATTGTATTATATAGGGAGTTTAACATAGTAGGATTCACACTGAGCTAAAAATTCTGTATTTGCAGAGGTAACTGGGGATTCTTATATAACCTGAAAGTGGTGCTGATCTTGCTAATTGGTGTGTGTGTGTGTGTGCGCGCGCATCTGTGTGTCTGTGTAGCACAAGTGTTTTATATTGGAATAATATTTCAACCAATAGTGTGAGTCAGTGGTAATTCGTTAATTGCTAAGATGCAATTAGATTGGGTACTTTGAAGGTAGAATGCATTAGTCTACATATACTACTGATTTTGTTTTCTCTTCTAGCTATTGGATTTAATGTTGAGACAGTAACATACAAAAACCTTAAATTCCAAGTCTGGGATTTGGGAGGACAGACAAGTATCAGGTATGGTATAAAGACCAGATTACTTTGTAGTATTGAGTATTTATTGGCCCTTTAAGGGTGAAGAGCAGTAAACCCAAATAT